ATGTAAAAGCAACTAAATAGTTGGAACTAAGTGACTAGGACCATAAGAAGTTTGATTACCCCATGAACTGTTAATGCTTCGGCCTTTGGCCTACCAGAAAGTTTTCTTTACCCTCTTATATTTATGGTGTACATTGGGGATAATGTACAATTTTAAGTGTGCGGTAGGGAGATTGTCTAAATGATTACGTGCTTTTTTAATTTTGCTAGTTTCATTTGGGGGGGGGGGGATCGCAAAAATTTGAAAAAAAATAATTAGGTAGTAATAATCCCTCTTGGTTTTTCTTATGGCCACAGTTCTTTTTCAAGGGATGACTCGTTGAACTGATAGTAGTTTTTTTAGGTAGAATTTTTAAAAACTTTTAGACTTTTTCCAATAATGGACTTCCTCAACTGTTTTCTTGAGGGTTTAAAGTCCAAAGGAAATACAAAAAGATTTCTTTTCTTCTTTTTGAAATAATAATGGAATGAGGATAACTTGAGTATCTATGCTTTTTTATATGTTTTATATCGGGGCTTAAAGCAGGAGTATTTGCGCTGAGTACTTTCTTCGTGATTATATGCCTTGAGGATATATGTGACTTTATTTTGATTATTGGGCTCATAACGTGACTCTTGTTATGTAATTCCTATTTGGTTGAATTTTACGACGATTGTGTTTAGTTGCTTTAACTTGATAATCAGACATGAGTCGTCCTCAGTAAGTCATGTGCATTGTATGAGGTGAGATATTTAGTTGTACTATGTGTCATCCCTTGATAGTCTAGAACTTGTCAGTGTGTGACTTGAAGCGAAATAAGTAAGATTTGTTAGTCTAAAAAATGATATAGGTGTTTCTTCGATTGACCTCTGAGTTGTTCGCCTATCAGTGATAGAATTATCATTTGTTAGTCCATTTAAACCTGTAAACTTTTTCTTTGTCACCAACATTACAAGTCGAATACCTTTTGTTCTTAATTAAATCTTGTTGAACCTTTACCTCCAAAAGCACGTATGTCGCTAGAAGAGTAAGGGAAGAGATTGGGTAGCTTTTGGGTATAACCATAGAAAGGCCAAAAGGTGTACGTATGTATTGCGAATGTCACTAGGCAGAAATATCAACTTATGGAGGGTGCTGAAAAGATTTTGAGGAAAAAAACAAGAATACAAACAAAAAATTACCCCCCCCCCCAAATTCACTATGATATGTGCTACTGATTATGTATGTACTTAAAGTTAATAAGTTGTGTTATGTATGGTTTCGTAGCGATGTGTTGAGTGATCTCGAAGATGATGTGTTTAAAAGTTAAAGTGTAGTGTATTAAAAGTGCTTATAGGGTTAGTCACTATTATACATATCTATCTTACCCGTCTCTTAGCCTACATGCATTACACCCCATAAAGACCTAATTGATTCTAGACTTTGCGAGCTTAAATTAGTAGAGACTTACACTACGGCCAAATCTAGGTACGAGCTTGGGAGGCACATGAGTTTTTTGCGAGAGTGAGTGAATTCTTTCGATATGCGAGTCCTTAAATTATACTTGAATTCATATTAGAGTGTGCGGATTGATTACTCTCTTTGCTTTGTTGGTGAAGGCGCATGCTTTACGACGGATTGATTAGGAACTCGTTTTAGTTGGCATAAGAAGTGAGTCATAAAGAGGAAATATATTGGAGTTATCTTTTGAGGTTAGGATGTTAAAAAGATTCATCCAAATATTTGAAATAGTCTTGGCATGTGTCTAAAAATGAGAAAAGATGTCAATAGTCCTTGTGTTGGATTCTAAGCATTGATATAAATCATTGTCATTAGTATGATGCTTGAGTATATTTTGAAGTTGTGTACTTGCCAATGTATTTAATTTTAAGTTGTTCGAGGACGAGCAAGAGTTTAAATTTAGGGTGACGATAAATGATGAAAAGTGCATGTTTTGACTATGTTTGCATATTATTTTTATGTGATTCGGGAGATCACATGATTTTTGAAGTGAAAATATGCTCATCACGTGCGTCTTATTTGTAGAAATTAACTTGTGCGAAAAAATCAAATAGGAGAAAAATTGATGAAAAAAGAGTTGAAGAGAAAAGTCCTAGATAACGAAGCGAGGTTCACTTTGCTAGATCAGGATCAGAGCAGAAGAAAACAATAACTAAGAGCGGTTTGGGACACGTTTCTAGACACGCCCCTAGCTTCTCCAATCTGAAATAGAAGAAGTCAAATTCGCCCCATACAAACCCTAGTGGATATAAATACATCCTAAAATGTCCTTTTGAGTGGAGACAATGCTTTAGGGCTAGATAACACCTTTGGAGGCAATAATAAACTAGGAGCAAGGAGAAAGATGTTGCGTTTTTTCTTTAAAGGGTGTGAATGGGAAATGAAAGAGGCACCTTTTGGATTGCACCTCTCCATATCACTCTTCCTTTGTCTATAAATTTAGAGGCTTGGCCTCATTTTTAAGATATGGAAAATCTGAAACCTCCTTCTCTTTTTTCTACATTGTTGCATTATTTTCTAAATAAACATAAGTGTCAAGTGTGATTTGCTCCGTTTGTTGAGTTCAAAATTCTGTGATTTGAAGTGCCGCTATTACAAAATAGTTATTACGTTCTATCCTGGGAGGAATTAATCCGTATACCTTGGGAAACAGTGAAAGGATTAAATTCCTTAAGAACACACTGTGAATTCAGTGGGCTGAGATTTAATTTTGTTCTTCATATGCATTCTGTTTCTCTTTTACTTTACATGATTTTCTGATTTTGAACACATATTACCAACAATCTTAAGGAATTTATCTTGTTATTTTTTCTAACGGCTTCGTGAGAAAATTGTGGTTGTTTGTTTGCCGCGGAGATAAACGAACAAGAGAACATTGTCGAATGGTCCTTGGCTAATTCTGCCTGTTGTTTAATTGATGTTGTAAAATCTGGTCAATGATGATAATGAAACGACGTGTCCAATGCAAGTCATGGAATGCAATCTACTTGATCGATTTGCATCAGGATCATTTGTTGAGTAAATTAAATTGCATCTAGTTTTATGGTTATGTGGATCACTTGTACCAAAGGCTGCTTATCATTAAAGCCGTTTGACATGAACAGTTACAAAATATATTTACTCTTCTATGTATAGAGTACATCTTAAAGTGACAGAGTGGCCCATGCCATATCGAGACTACTAACGGCATGTTCATGACAAGTTGGAAACGGTGCTTCAACATCACTTCCATTTAGCCTTATCTATGGTTTTACTTACCAGTTACAGTGAAAGAGAAATAAACACATGGTTTACATGGTGCAATTTCTATGAAAAATATTTCACTCAAAGAAGGGAATTCATCTAGGAAAACCAGTCTAAGATAAGTTTTAGATTTTTTTTTAATCTTGAATTTTATAAAGTTGAATGGCGTGTTGTATACCATCTTCTTCGCAGGTATATCAATGAACCATCTCATTACTGACGTCACTAGTAATGGGTTCTCAAAGAAAATAGATGTAAATTATTGTGAAGTCCATAACGATGGCTTAAACATGAAAGATGGAATAGAGAATCCATCAATTCTCCTTGAAAAGGAATTGAAAAATTGTGGGGGAAGTGCACAAATAACCATTAATTTGAGATGTCTTTATTTTTTAGCCACTGTTTTAAATGTATTTACTCTTTAGCTAGTGCTTAATTAATTTTTACCTACCCGGACAAAAATACCTTTGTGCTAGACATGGGTGATGTGTAAATATTAAGGACATAGTGTCCTTAACTTCATGAGTGCTGTGTAAATATTATGGACAAAGTGTCCTGTATTTGCACCTTCTGCTGCTAAACTTTAGGACATCATGTCCTTAACTTCATATATGCAGCGTAACTGTTAAGGACATAGTGTCCTTAACTTCATGAGTGCTGTGTAAATATTATGGACAAAGTGTCCTGTATTTGCACCTTCTGCTGCTAAACTTTAGGACATCATGTCCTTAACTTCATATGTGCAGTGTAAATGTTAAGGACGTGGTGTCCATGAGTGTTGTGTAAATATTAAGGACATAGTATCCTTAACTTCATGAGAGTTGTGTAAATATTAAGGACAAAGTGTCTTGTATTTGCACCTTCTGCTGTTAAACTTTAGGACATCATGTCCTTAACTTCATATGTGCAGTGTAAATGTTAAGGACGTAGTGTCCTTAACTTCATGTGTGCAATGTAAATGTTAAGGACATAATGTCCTTAACTTGTATTTGCAACTTCTGTTGTTAAACTTTAGGACATCATGTCCTTAACTTCATATGTGCAGCGTAAATGTTAAGGACATAGTGTCCTTAACTTCATGTATGCAATGTAAATGTCAAGGACATAATGTCCTTAATTTGTATTTGCACCTTCTGTTGTTAAACTTTAGGACATCATGTCCTTAACTTCATATGTGCAGTATAAATATTAAGGACATTGTATCCTTAACTTCATGTGTGCATTGTAAATGTTAAGGACATAGTGTCCTTAACTTTATGAGTATTGTGTAAATATTAAGGACATGGTGTCCTTAACTTCATGAGTGATGTGTAAAATATTAACGACATGGTGTTCTTAACTTCATGAGTGATGTGTAAAATATTAAGACATGGTTTGTCCTTAATATTTACACAATACTCATAAAATTAAGGACACCATGTCTTTATCACTCATGAAGAAAGGGTAAAAATGACTTTTTGTATCAATTTTAATAGAGTAGTGGCTATTTTTGCTCAACATTAAAAATACTGGCTAAAAAGTAAATACCACTTAAAAAGTGGCTATACCACGCCATTTCTTGACAAATTGTGATGGAAGACAGTCGATTTCAATGCAACGATAAGAAGGGAGTAGTATCAAATCTTGGTTCTACTTTTTCTACTCTACTTATTGTTTACTAGTGGGGATAAGTCCGGGCAAAGCCCGGGCCCAACATGAAGAGAACTACATTGTTGCAAGTAAAAAGTACAGTGACAATAACGGATGAGCTTGTGTAGAGAAATGGCAGACTGCAGAGCTATTGCTGAGTTGTACTCAAAAGAGAAATAAAAGACCACAAATATGTTACCTAAAAAACGTATGGGTTTGCAGTAACATCTGCCGATACAAATATGTGTAAGATGGTAGAAATTAGAATTACTATCAAAGTATATAGTACTATCTTTCAACTGGTCCGAAAGAGTACCAGAAGAATCAACTCGTGCCTCACATAAGCATTTGAAGGAATTCAGGATATGTTCTCTTCTTCCACATGTTAAACCCTTGGCTTTTTTCGGGAATTGAATACACTTGCAAAGGCAATAGATTCTATAAGGAGCTCCTCAGGACTTTCTGGCCGGACTTTAGCCCCTTTCATTTTCACTCAAATGTAGAGAGCATTTCGAATTACACTGAAATTGTTGTCCTGCGAGATGTCTTCATTTGGCAAATCAAATGTTATGTGGTGCTTCAGCCATTCCTTATTCGTGACAGATTAGTCATATTCGTTTGAAAATCCATCAAGAAGCTGCAAAATCAGGTATGCACAAATGATCAATGATAATGAAAGAGTTATGAAACAACAAAAAAGAGAAAATAAATTGGATATAAAGAGGAAGATTAAACTCAATGACTGCAAACTAAATCACAAAAGAAAGTGAACACAGTAATGAAAGCACACTGAACATTCCATTTATACACTTAAACAAGCACGTGTAACAAGTATAAAATTTGAATATGCAGGAATGTTTCAAAGTGCCACTGGAATCTAAACTCCAAATGAGTAAGGGAAGAAGCTCTCAATCATCAACAGTATGCCAAAACAAGATGGAATGAAACTCCTAACATCAATCGAGTAGGAAGAATACACCAATGACATGAATGTTCCTAGACAAATCATCAGCCGAGACCTAAGGATCTTTAAGATCTTGATTCGTACTCCATGAGTACGTGTTCTATGTGATTGTGAGTGTGCGTCTATATATTAATATTTATAGATCCATTTTGAAATGACATCGTAAGTGCAATTTAACGGGAGTATTTTTAAGTAGCAACAATATATGAATAAAAGCTTGCATGTAGGAAAATATGATAATTAGGTAAACTTATTTTGGTAGAATATGTATAAAGTAATATCATTTATAAATTATCGGTTGTCCATTCAAAGATCCAATTCTCCTTCTTTGAATGATCAAGTCTTTAAGAGTCACGATATTGAAAGAACTCTGCCAAGAAAAGGTATATGATTAGTCACGAAGATGAACATCTCTTCAATAATTTTTTGCATTGTCCAACAGAATGGAAGATGTTACCTTTTGTCGAAGCTCAGATGACCGCAGAGCTGACTTTATTTTTATCTTTTCACTCAACCGTTTTCAGGAGTTGATGTAGGTTCATGGCGCATAGTGGATTTTAAAGAAAATTTAGCAAGGAAAGGATTAACTACTGGTTCCTATTGTGAAAAAGACAGTGAGTGTAAACCATAAGAAATGCGGTTGGTAAAGCAGAAGATGCTATTTAGTTAAACAAATTGAATAAGCAAGTCTCACAATCAGCTCTACATTATTTCCAATAAATACATAACTGAACACTAAAATAATCATGCTGACAAAAGGTTATATAAAAGAATTTCAGGGCTAGTATAATACCTCCAAATAGTTTTAGCAAAATAACCTGTGCGGCAGATGTCATTCACTGAGTCAGTGGCATATGTATAGCAACAGACACATATTGATACAAACTGGCATGCAAAATTGAAAACTCTATGATTAGTAAGAAGAATGATTGTTCCTTAAAGTTCTTCGTAGTAAGAAAGAACATTTAAAAGAAATAATTTCTGTGCCAAATCTTTTTGTTAGTGAAAAATGTAATTTTCCTTGGTGTCATTATCTTCCAGGCACAAGCTCACGTGGAATTGCCAGAATAGTCCACCAAAGTGTAAAGTGCAAAATGCAAAGAAGAAAAAGAAGAAGAAATTTAAGAATTATAGAACTTTACAAAGTGTAGATTAGTAGGAGAATTATTTCCCATATGTCAAAAAGAATTCCACATGTTCATTTCTTGATGCAACAACTTTATCATCAGCAGTAAATAATACCAATGTAAACAGTCATTTTTTTTTTTCCAGGAGGAGGAATCAATAAGAAAAGAAAAAAGGATTTAGTGGGCGCATGAGTCACCGAGTAAGATAATTTTTAACTGAAGAGAAGTAGCATATTACCCATCTTTCTTTTGATAAAACAATGGCTTTTACTGCTTTCACAAACTGTTAAGTAGACGGTGAAGGCATACACATGCGTTCAACACTCATCTTCAAGTGCATTGCATTTTCCTAATGTAGAAACAACAATATATTGTCGTCATATTTTCGATATACCTTTAAACCTTCAAGCAATCCCTATTAATATTTCCAATAGCATTTTTGGTGACTCTGATGAATGATCTGAATCGGTAACCATTCAAATGAATAACAAAGAAGAAATATATTTAAGAATAAGAAAGGTTTCATGAGATACTATCATAATACAAAAGTGTAAAAACTAACCTGTCCATAATTTAACAATTTAGCAGATGGGCTCAACTCAATGTTACTGAAACGCTGTAATTCACCCTTAGAAAAGTTTTCCCCTTCAGAACATTTCATGACATACATACAATCAGTAGGCGTAAAGCCAAAGCCAAAGGCAATGTTGTCCCAATCAATGTCGGCTAATTCAGATGTTATGTTGCTGTTATAAAAACAAAATTCCTATCAGTTAAGTGAAAAGTAATAAATAAGTAATGCAAAGGATGTAGAGCTACTTCATGCATTGTGTGTAAGTTAAATAATTGTATGACCTACAGGGAAACTGCAGTTGACTAAGTCCGCAAGCTCTACCATGAAGTTATTTTTTCTCTTTTTAATTGATGCATTCTGATGGTACTTGCATTGGAGGAAGTGATCACTTCCCTTTCTCACTGTAAATAGCATTCCATGATCATTGTCCTTTAGATAATTGATATACATTCAGATCAGCTGAACACCTCGAGTAGTTACCATATGATACTAACAACGATATACCTTCAGATCAGCTGATTGTTATCCTACCACATGCCTTGATTTTGCAAATCAAATGTTATGTGGTTGACAGAAGTTTGATGTCCAAACATCTTCCTGAACACCTCGAGTAGTTAATCAGTTGATATGTTATTAAATGGCATACAATTGTGATTGTCTGATCGCAGAGCATTATAAACAGATTAGTTACTTGCATCAGACAACTTTCATACATCAATGCCACAATTTTTTTCCATTTGAATCAGCAATCTGATTTTCCAATCAAATATTTCATCTAATGTCTGGAGTTCTTCTCCATTAAAATTTTTTATTTGCCTAATTCACGTTTCATTTGCATTAACATATAGAAAGATGAAGCACATCCAGATAGACTAATAGCCTGTTTGGCCAAGTTGGAGAAATCACCTTATTTTGAAAAGTGTTTTTTCAAAAGTGCTTTTGAAAAAAGTACTTTTAGAGAGAAGCAGTTTGTGTTTGGCTAATCACTCAGAAAAGCACTTTTGAGCAATAATTTGTATTTGGCCAAGTTTTTCAGAAAGTGCTTTTAAGTATCAAATTACGAATAAGGACATGAATAGATTTACTTAATAGTTAATATTATAAGTAAATAAATAATCTCAAAAATTTGTTATTACAGGCAATAATTAAATCTTTTCATTTTATTTAAGTACAATATGAAAAAGTTGATGTCCTAGGCTCTCTGTAGTCCGTAGTGCAGTAGGGATTTAAGAACTTCCTATACCATCTTCTGTAAATTTGAAAGACTGCACCTCCTTGGTGCAGTTGTTATATATACAAAATTTGTTACCTTCTCAAAAAAAAAATGATTTTTTTTAAAAGTAGTTAATTATTTTAATATAAGTTAAATATATTAAAAATCATTCAACAAATATAAAAGCATTCACACCTAAAGTCACTATATATTAGAAAGTTATCCTAAAAATGATAAGAAATATTCATACCTTAATATCCTAAGTATTAGGTTTGACGGTTATTTTAGTATATACTATATTTTGTTAAGGGTATTTTTGGTAAGAAAAAAAGTCAAAACTGCTTCTGCTTCTGCTTTTGGAAAGAAATTATTTTTTTCTGCTTCTCAGAAACTGCTTCTCCTTCTTCCCAAAAGCACTTTTTTCCCAAAAAAAAAAAAAAAGTTTGGCCAAACACCTCAAATTAGGAAAAAAAAGTGCTTTGGGGAAAAAAAATCTGGCCTCTTGAGAAACTTGGTCAAACAGGCTATAAGATGAATCTCTATGTTGAACTTCTTTTTCTATATGCAGTTAAGGCTCTATAGTAACTGCACTTGTTCTAGCTTTTTAGTAAATCAAAGAAATAATGTTATTCTATAAAACAACTTTCAATTTATCAAAACCACCATCCATGACGAATCGACATGTGGCCACCCATAACTCTAACCTCCATCAACAACTATGACAAAAATTAATTTAGGCTGCACGTTGTAATCTCGAGAGTGGCATTCATACTTTTTATAATCTCCTTCATAGTATTCCAGACTCTGTCACGGGCAGAAAGATGCAATGTAGTACAACACAACTTAAATTTGGGTGCTTTTGATTGCTTAGATGATGTTATTGATGCTCTATAAGTCCTACCAGTTACATTCTAGAGGCTTTCCCTATTTATTGTATAGTTAAAAATTCTAAGAAACTTATCGGGCACGGATCTAATGTATCACTTATGGGTTAATTTAAACCCAACAACTTTGGCTCGAACACTGTGTTAGTATTTGTTTAAAAGGCCACTAAATAAATACGAATAATAAATCTTAAACACGATAAGTCAAATCCTGAATCCCCAAATTGACCACTTAACTAAACCGGAATTATAAGCTATTTGGATATCGGATAATATGAATTTTCTATATTCATGTCCCATCTATCCAGGGGACCCAATTTATTACAAACAGTGGATCTAAAATGAAAATTAATCAATCATACTCTTTATTTACTTTTTCAAGAAAATTACATGTATCCAACTGACATGGGATAACTATATATACCACAAAATTAGAGAAAGAACAAACGAAGATATCTAAAGATTGAAAAGAGGGTAGAAGCCTTAGAAGGGGAACCTGACTTCAGGGTTGCCGCAGATATTACGAACCAATTGCATGCCATAAATCAACAGTAAACCCAAGAGCGAAAAACACCTCAAATGACCCATTAACAAAGTCGCCGATTTTCGAGACAAATAGAAAAACAGGGAAGCAGACTAACTGGGTTTGTTCTAGCTTTTTGGTAAATCAAAGAAATAATTTTATCCCCCAACATAACTTTCAAGTTATCAAAACCACCATCCATGGCGAATCAGCCCATGGGCAGCCATAATTGTCACCTCCGTCAACAACTATGACAAAATCAGAAGGAAAATCGAAATAATACAGCGTGAACTGAACTCACCGAGAGATAAAACACAAATCAGCAACAGCGAGAAAGTCGAAGAACCACGCGAAAATAAAGAGAGATGAAAGAGGGTGTGAGTTGAATCAAGCTTTCAGTAGAAAAATTCTAAAACTTTCGACTGTCCACCGTTTACCCAAAATCCAAAGCAGCATGTGGTCGTCTCTCAAGCATCTTACCCTGCAGACGTAGGGAATCCTTTGATGTTTAATCTTTTCCTCAAAGACGATTATACCTCCGATAAGGCTAGCTATAATGACAGTTATGCCCTCAATAAGGCCACGCAAGCATGTTGACCTGATGTGTGCTTATTCTCCCAAATTAATAGAGAGAATGTATTTATGAATTTCTAACCTTTGTGGTCTGGTAATATTTCAATTGATTAAATTCATTTGAAATAAATGTTAGTAGATGACTAACTTTGTGATGATCTTGGAAGATTATTTTCAAGGTTGTAAGTATGAATTAGGCTTACACTAAATACTTGAAAATAGTTTTGAAATCGTGAATATAATATATGTAAAGATATTACATATGTTTGTTTGATAAGAAAATATATCAAAATGTTGAGATGTTTAGAGGTTATAATGGTTTAGTTGGAAAGCCATTGGAAAAAAAACAAACAAAATACTTGTGATTTTCTACCCCTGGTTTGGAGAAAAATTAAAATTCTCATGATTTTCTACTCCCGTTATGGAGACTAAAATCTTCGTAGTTTTCTACTCCTGCTTCAAGATTAAAATCTGCGTGATTTTCTACTCGTTCATTGAGATTAAAGTCTTTGTGACTTTTTACTCATTAGTGGGAATTAAAGTCTAAGTGACTTTCTACTCGTTTGGAGATTAAAATCTTTGTGATTTTCTACTCCAATTTATTATTCGGTTTGAAGATTTAAAAAAAATTCATTGTTTATTAGATCTAGTTGTATCAGATATTACTCGGTTTGAAAATTAAAAACTTTATTGTTTTTAATTCTGAATATGTCAGAATGGTTTGAAGATTAAAAACTTCACCATTTATTAATTCTGGCTCTGTCGTGACACAAATAACAGTTCTTGTAGTTAGCTCTACAATGTAATAAGGGCGTTAAATATGAATCTCTTTTTGAAGAAATATGTTTGGAATATGAAATTATTCACCAAACGACCGCCCTTAGTCACCGCAATCTAATGAAATTGCAGAAAGAAAGAATAGAACGTCAAAGGAGATGATGAATGCCTAGTTGATAAGTTCTGGTTTACCCAAAACTTGTGGGGAAAGCTATGGTTACAGCTAATCGAATACTCAATCGAGTTATCCATAGCAAAACACAATCTATTCCATATGAAAAAATGGAAAGGAAGGAAACACAACTTAAAATATTTTAAAGTGTGGGGGAAGGGGTGCTTGGCTAAAGTGCAAGTTCCTAAATCCAAAAGGGTAAAGATCGGACCAGAAAATATTGATTGCATTTTTATAGGATATGTAACAAATAGTAAGGCATATCATTTTCTGGTTCATAAATCGAAAAATCCCGACATTCATATTAATACGTTAATCGAATCAGATAATGCTTAATTTTTGAGAATATTTATCGTATAAAAAGGAATGTGAGTTGTCTAGTGAAATATCTAAGCGACCTCGGGAATAAGCAAAGGAAAGTACACCTAATGAAGTGAATCCAAGACGTAATAAACGTCAAAGGACAACTACTTTCATTGGATCAGGTTTTCTGACATTCTTGTTTGAAAATGAGCTTCAAACTTTGGAAAAAGTTATGTCTTCCTCGGAAAGAAGTAGTCAATAGTGAGACAGAATCCATATTAAGTAATCATACTTGGGAATTGGTTGATCTTCCTCCAGGAAATAAACCTTTGGGTTCTAAGTGAATTTTCAAAAGGGAAATGAAAGTTGATGGTATTATTAACAAATATAAGGCAAGATTGACTGCCAAAGGATTAAGACAATGAGAAGGTCTTGATTACTTTGACACATACTCACCGGTAATGAGAATCACATCTATTCGGATGGTAATAGCGTTAGCCACCGTGTATGGCCTTGAAATCCATCAGATGGATGTAAAGACAATATTCTTAAATGGAGATTTGGAGGAAGCAATTTGTATGGAACAACCTGAAAGGTTCATGGTTTCTGAAAAAGAAAGAAGATGTGTCGACTTGTTATGTCACTTTACGGACGAAAACAAACACTCAAATAATGGCACGCGAAATTTGACTAGAAAATATTGTCAAATGGTTTCAAATTAGTGTATTTACATTAAGAATACTCTAAATTATGTAGTCATTGATTATTTATATATGGATTATATGTTGATAGAAAAGGCATATAAAACATATGAAATGTGGGGGCATTTAGCTTATGCATAACAAAAGTTATTGCTAGACGGGATGTATATATTATCTAGAAGAATTAGATGATATGATTCTTTGAACCCACAAATCTTTAGTGGATATTGATATGGTAGTCGGCGAATTCATCAGTTGTTAAGTCTTAGTAAAGACTAGTTGATGAAACTACTAATTCATAAGTTGGTCACGTGCCTTTCTCGAAATATTATTTCTTTCTTGAAAATTTATATTATTTGGTTCTTTTATGAAATGATGTCACTTCAAAGGTTGTGACTTTTCATAGAAAGATACGTCTGTACGTTTTTGTATGGACATGATCATTCATGAATGAATGTATTAATACGTTGGTCTATAATGAGGTGAACCAACCGATGAACATGACCAAAATCCATTCCAAGTTGGATTTATTTCATGAATGAAGGTGCTATAATTTGCATATCATATAGACGTATGAATAAATAGCATACAAATGCTTGAAAATGGTGAAATGATTGCGAAATGTGCTATATATTAAAAGCTTGTGGTCATAACTGATGCCAATCATTCCATTTGTTATTATAATATACTATTACTACATTAAGTGTAGTCGATAATCTGACATGCAATCAAAAGTCGAGACATATTAGTCTACGACATAAGAAAGTTTGCATTGAACTTTCATGATAATGAAACATGTTTTGAAGTATTTGAAATATACTCCAAATTATACTTTGCACTACAATAAGTATCTCGCGATAATAAAGGGGTATTGTGATGTAAATTAGATCACCGGTTCAACCGATTCTAAACAGTCTGTGGAGGAGCGATGTCTTGAAAATCGTCCAAACAACTATGCATTGACCACTCTACAATTGAGGCTGAGTTTATAGCCTTAGACAAGGCCGGTGAAGAAGCTGAATGGCTCCGAAATTTCTTGGAAGATATTCTATTTTGGCTCAAACCTTTGACACATATATGTATATATTGTGATATTCAAGCGGCAATAGGTAGGACAGAGAGTGTTATGTATAACGAAAAATCTCGTCACATTCGACGGAGACACAATACCGTTAGACAACTACTCTTTAGTGGTGTTATCACGATTGACTAAGTAAAGTCAAGAGATAACGTGTCAGATCCACTTATAAAAGGCCTATCCAGAGAGGCAGTTGAAAGATCATCAAAGGGAATGGGACTAAGGCCTAGGACAAGTCATCATGGCGGTAACTCTACCTAGCAGATTGGAGATCCCAAGAGCTAGGTTTAAAGAAATCAAACAAAGTTATGAATTACGGTTCAACATTGTCAAATAACACAACCCATTCTCGTGATGAAGACAATGTTCAAAAATCAAGGTAAAGCATTAAGGCTTTTTGATGAGTCAATAAAGCTTAAAGCTTTTTAATGATTTGCTAAGTCTGGCAGAATATGACTAGATAGTGTGTCTATAGGATTACACGATTAGAAATCACCTATGTGAGTGTGAAATATAAGCCGCTTTAAGGGGAATGAAAGTAAAGGCCCATTCTTTAAGCACTCATGAAATCATGCGGTGTTCATGGCTGAAACAAATATAACCGTGAGAACCAAAAACGGTTAAGGATTGATTGTGTGACTTGTGGTTGTTTAGGTATACATCAAAGCTCGACGGCTCAAAGATATCAAATCTACCCATTGACCGAGTATATCCGACATAAGTTCACTACGGAAAGTTCAAAGGGAAACTTACTTATCCAGATGCGATTAATCCTTATTTGCGAATCACATAGTATTTTCTTGCATGTTTTTTCACATATGTCCATTCCCCATTCATGTGGGGGATTGTTGTGTTTTTTCTTTAAATGGTATAAATGGGAAATGAAAGGGGCACCTTTTGGATTGCACCTCTCCATATCACCCTTCCTTTGTCTATAAATTTAGAGGCTTGGCCTCATTTTTAAGATATGAAAAATCTGAAATCTTCTCCCCTCTATTCTACATTGTTGCATTATTTTCTAAATAAACATAAGTGTCAAGTGCGATTTGCTCCGTTTGTTGAGTTCGCTGAAGTTCTGTGATTTGAAGTACCGCTATCACAGAATAGTTATTCCGTTCTATCCTGGAGGAATTAATCCATATACCTTGGGCAATAACAAGGGGATTGAATTCCTTAAGGACACACTGTGAATTCAGTGGGCTCAAATTTAATTTTGTTATTTCTATGCATTTCTGTTTTTCTTTTACTTTACATGATTTTCTGATTTTGAACACAGATTACCAACAGAAGATTCAACCATGAGTTTTCCATTTCTTTTTCCTATTTTTTATTGTTGGTTATGAATTTTAGTGTTGTATTTTTACATACTATTATGAGTAGCTAATTTATTATCTAGAGTTTTGATGGAACCTTTTGGAGGATGGATTTTTGTTACGTTTTAATATAATTTAGCCTTAGAATTTCTTTACTTGTTCAATTACGTGCTTATTTAAGTTGATTGAATGGTCATCAATTGACTATGCCTATTTATTATATATTGCTTGGGAAAGTCTACATTTTTAGGTAGTTGTTAAGCAACATCACTCCCAACTTATGTGAGAAATCAATACGTCGGGTTTAAAGGTAGATTTAGGAATAATAAAGCCTTGACGTGGTCATGGTGAGCAGTAAGATAATGTCAGCTAGCGTAGTTCGGAAGAATATGTCTAGTAAATTATTGTAGTTGCTCGATAAAGAGTTATAACACATAAAGTGATCGCAGTTAGTGGAGAATACCTAGGCGAAATTATAGGAGAGGTGACACGTAGAATTCAGACAATTGGAAAAATCATAAATCTAGTCTGTTTTAATCTTGTCTCCAACCCTTAGTCTCTTTAGTTGATAAATTTCGATTGCTTTCTAGTATTT